GAAGATTTGGATCATCCAAGATAGCACCTTCCGGAAGAAGTCCGGAGACCAAGACGGCGCAGGACCAAGTCGGGCTCCAGCCCCCGCTCCCGCCAAGGCCTCCTTACAGTCCATAGCCGATACCCTGAATCGGCTAACCATCACCGTGGACGGCATGGGCCAATACTTGGAGCGGATGGATAGCACGCTGCAACGCCAACACCACGACATGAGGGCGTTCTTCCGCGGCATCAACTACGTCCCGCCGCCCTTTGACAGCACCTTCCTCGGCCAGAACTATGAAGGCGAGGACGAGGAGGATGACTCCTTTGCTCCGTCTTCCTCCCCTGACGAGGCCGATTTTGAGGACGCGGTCGACGGGGATCCCATGGACGTTGAGGACGACGAAGAAGACGATGACGCTGAGGACGTGGACGCCGCTTCCTAGACTCTTCTTTTTTTTTTCTTCCTTACTATGATTGTCCTTTTTATTATTATTTCCATTCCGTTGTATTCCGCATTTTCTCCTTTTTTAATGAATAAAAGTTCACTTTTAAACTCTAAAGTTCACTTTTAATTCTTTTTGTTAATGTCAAAAGGGGGAAGATATCAAGGTTATGCATAAATTGAGGGGGAATTGTTTTTAAAATAAAATGGCAACTATTAAGGGGGAACATTTTTTTAAGTCTCTAAGTCTTCCTCATATGCATAACCTCATCGCGTTTGCCATTATCAAAAAGGGGGAAATTGTTGAAACACGGGCATGTCACGTTTTCGTACAAAAGCCGTGTTCGCTTTTATGACAGGTTTTGTCAATGCCAAACCGCCGTGATCAAGTCAAAACATTGAATATATAAGGCGAAGAAGGAAGACAAGAACAAGAGCTAAAAAGAAGACCAAGAACGAAGACCGTAGTCTTAGTGTCGTTGAGTCGGTCTTCATTGTGATCAAGACCGACCCAATCTTTACAACTTGGCTCTTTAGGCTAAAATCCTTCATTACATTTCTTAAATCATAAAAAAGTTTTTCAAACATTTTTAAGTCATTAAAAACACTTGGTGTTCGCACAAACCAAAAACCAAGCCATCCGGCGCTCGGGTTTCAGAAACCGGCGTTCGGCTCTCGGTTATCGGCTATGGTTTTTGGCGTCCGAACCAACCAAGTGGTTTTCAACTTTTTATGATTGGGTTTTACTCTTTGGGATGTTTAAACGGTTCTCCAACAAAAACACCTTGAAAACCATCTTTCGCTTTTGGTCGTTTGACAAAAATAATTCAAAACGGCATAAACTTGGCTAGCCGTGGTTTTCACTCAAATGACGTGGTTTTTAAAGTGTCTTACTTGATCTCTTAGCCAAATACATCAAATAAGTGTTTTAAACACTTGGTTTTTATTTTGGAGAACTTTGAATTTTTCGGTCGGTTTTTACACCGGTTGGCTAGGCCGTGGTTAAGCCAAAAACCATGGGTTCTTGACTAACCACCCACCCAGCGATGGGAAGATCTTCCCATCGATGGGTAAGCAGCCCCTTAGCCAAACCAATTTCCAGAACCATGCCAAACAGCGATGGGAAGTTCTACCCATCGCTAATCAAGCCTTGGTGCAAAATTAACACAAGGCAGAACGACCTTGCCCAGCGATGGGAAACCTATCCCATCGATGGGAACCCAGCGATGGTAAGGGCATACCATCGATGGGAAGGCATGACCGTTGGTGGTCATTAAAGGTTGATTCTTTCCTTGTTTGGAAGTCAACCTCCCACCCAGCGATGGGAAGCTTGTACCCATCGATGGGTAGGTGACCGTTGACTTCAAAACTGAAGAACAATTGGCTTACCAGCAATGGTTGAGTCTAAACATCGATGGGAAGCCAATATTCTGCAGATCCCAAATCTTTTCAATCCCATAAATCAAGCCAATCACCCCTTTAATGCATTGGTCCGTTGGAGCCTTCTTTGGCACTATAAAAAGGGGTGTTTGGGTCTGCTTTTCTCACCAATTCACTTCACAACATCTATACTTTCATTGCATTCAAATATCATCATT